GCCATGCGGGTACGGAACCCATAATCTACATTGAGCTTTTATAACTAAACATATGTTGTTTTTATACATTGAACTTAAGAACTGTTTAACTTAAACTTAATATTCGATCACTTTGAACATAACGTTTTCATTTCATTTCAGAATTACTTCAAATCACCTCAAGAATCACTCCTTTCAAGGGCATACAGCATTTTGGGGGTTCCTGGACAACTTATACCTTCAACGCAAAGCTTACGTTATATTAATGTAATTGTAGATCAATCACATAAATTCTGTAGAACATGTAATCCTTAACTTCATAATTAATGTGTTCACATTAAAATAAACTCTATAAATAAAGAAATAAGTAAACATTTTTCTTCAACGGAGTAGGAGGATTCGCTGCGTGCTCACGCCGCTGGCTAACAAGTACGTAAAAGAGAGTGACAAGGATGAAAAGTGCTTAAGGACAAAAGATCAAAACATAAAACAAGGAAGAAAGAAATTAGTAAAATGCCCGTGGTTGCAAATTTTCTTCAAAACGTCGTCTCATGTATTGCTATCTCATCAGAAGAAATACGATTGAACTTCCATTCGTTCGAGAGTAATATATTTTGCCAATTCTGACTTGAACCAGTGTTCATAAGCTTTAACAGATGCATATATCATTTTTCGAGTTTTGATACTCAAATAATGGTCTCTTACGTTATCTTCAGGTCCTTAATTGAAAACGTTGCAACTATTTTCTAACTGTTCCAGCATTAATTATCATTATTTACTATTGTTTATCCGTGTTTAAATTAAATTCAGCTTTAATATTAGCTGAAGATCAAAAACGATTCTTTGTGCGCAAACGATGGTAGTGACGATCCATTTGTTCAGCTGTGTTCCGTAGTGTGTCACGTTTTAGGGCCAGAATGTGTGTGTGTGTGTGAAAACCATTCTTTAAAAATCTACACCACTCTTGCTTCCAAGCTGTTTCTGATCTGATAACAATAGCCGTTAGGTCGACAGATGTCTTCTTTCGATTACATAGTCTTGCGACTTGTTTCCTTTCGTTAAGAACAATAAATTCTCCCTAACTAATCCTCACCTTGGAAACAAAAATGGACAATTTGAGAAGAGGAGATACGATTATTTTGGCCTTGCACCTCGTTTTTATAGTTGTTGACAATCGGCAATTATAACAACGAGTCACGAAGTTTGAATAACTGTATCTCTTCTTCTCAAATAACCCATTTTTGTCTACAAACTGAAGGACAATTGAGGAGAATTTACTGTAGTAAATTCCGTGCTTCGTGATTTATTCATATTTTTACGCTCGGTAAAAAAACTGAAATCATCCAAATAAGTAAATTCTCTCTGATTGACCCTCGGCTTGGAAACAAAAATGGACAATTTGGGAAGAGAAGGTATCATTATTCGAGCTTTGCGGCTCGTTTTAATAGTTGTTGACAATCAGTAACTATAAAAATGAGTCGCAAGTCGTATCTCTTCTTCCCAAGGTGTCCATTTTCGGGTACAAGCTGAGGGTCAATTAGGGAGAATTTACTGTACGCGCGACTCACCGATTTTGTTATTTGTATACTAAAATAACAAACGAATTATTAAAGTGATTCTCGCTAGACAAGTCGTAATTATTGCACCAACATACAAGTATTGTTTCACTTAAAGTGGTATTCTAGTGTGAACTCTTGAAAAAATCAATCTTTTTTCTTTTGCATATTCTTAAAGAATATAGTTTAAAAAATATAACCGTGGAACATTACATGCGGACTCCTAAAATTAACGAAGTTGAGGTTGTTTGAAAGACACGACGAGCTCAAAATCTAATTGACCAATAGACTCAAAATTTTGTAGTACATATTTAGTATTGTTTGGCAGAAAAGCAATTTCGGTATTTCAATATAAAATAAAACTCAATTTTTTCTATACAAAAAACGAACTTTAATCAGCCAAATATTTTCCATTCTATTCGATGACCTTTTGCCATCTTTCTGGTAACTTCATAATTCCACGCTCATAAAACTTTTGATCCTTATCAGTAAAAAAACTCAATCAAGTGCGATTTGAGGCTATCGTTATTATTGAAATTTTTACCATTTAAAAAATTTTGTAAACTTCAAAATAAATGATAATCTGATAGTGCAAGGATGGGGCTATATAGAGGATGCGACATCACTTCCCAACCAAGCTCCAATAATTTTGTACGTGTTGCTAAAGATGTGTGAGGCCTCGCATTATCGTGGTTTCAACCACGATTCCTTTGCGATTTGTCAATTCTGGCTAATTCACTTTGATTGCTTCCTCCAATTTCATAAGTTGTTGGCAGTAAACATCTGAGTTGATCGTTTTGTTGCTTGGAAGCAGCTCAAAATACACAACACCTTTATAGTCCCATCAAATTGACAGCATGATCTTTTTTTGATGCAATTCGGCTTTCGATATGGTTTGTGCTGGTTTATCACGCTTGGACCATGACTTTTTTCAATTAATGTTATTGTAAATGATCCATTTTTTATCACCAGCGATAATTCGTTTCAAAAAAGGGTCGATTGCATTACGTTTAAAATGCCTATCGCAAATACTAATTCGTTGTGTTAAGTGAATTTCTTTCAATTCATGCGGAAACCAAACATCGAGCTTTTTAACAAGTCCAAGACATCTTATGTGATATTTAATTGTCGTATGTGATACATTTAACCTTTTTGCGACTTTATGATGATTCGATTCAATTATGATTTTGATTTGATCAAGTTCAGAAAATCGACCTTTAAGTGAAAAATCTTCAGAACAAAATTTTTTGAACCAATTTTGACACGTGCGCTCTGTTAACCATAAACTTCACATATCTCTTTGTGAGTCTGGGCCGCTTTTTTGCCTTTATGAAAATAAAAAAATAAAATGTGTCGAAAATGTTCATTTTTGCATTCCATGTTAAAATTGACAGCGAACTATCAGTTGTAAACAAAACTACACGGAATTTGTTTCTATAGTAACTTAAACGTGTCAACTACCAAAGCTGAAACAAAAGAATGACAATGCAAAAATAACGTTATCTATTGGTGCAAACCAAAATTACTTTCTTGCCAACCTAATATATGTCTGACTATAGCCCCAACTATAGCTAACCGACAATTTTTAATATATTCTATCTTCTAGGCCTCCGAAATTTAACAAACCATGCAAACATCGATAATCGAATATCAAAGTGTCACCACTTTTTTAATTATCGATTTTTACTGTTTTGTTCTAGTACCTGCTGTAGCCAAATTTGTACTAATTAAGGAATTTTTTCGCATTTTTTTATTTCAGACAAGCAGAATGACCGGAATCATGGACACCGTGAGACGACATTTTTTAAAAGCGACTGTGTTCGAAAATCTGCAATGCCACTAATTTTAACTACCTTTGTACCAAAGATTTTTAAATATCGTTGAAATATGAACAAATAAACCTTGACAGATTGACTGCAAAAGGTATAATGGTCTCTTTATAAAATATACCGTAACGAAGTGACAAACGCACACACTTCGCACTAAAAATCGCACACACCCTTAACATCAAAGTTGCCCTACTACTCTGCGCGATAGAACTATTGCACATTTACAATGTTTAATACAATGAAATACGCTGGTTATCTTCCATTGCATCGTAACTCTTTCTAACGCAGTCATCACGCCATAATATAAATGTAATGAATCATAGATACACTTGGCATTTTCTACTTCGTTCTGCAAACTCTATCGATCAAATTGGCAGGTTTTCACAAAACATCTGTGGTGTATCGCTGCCTGAATATAAAACAACGATGTCCCGAATAATGTGCTGAACGTCGTAATTATGGCATAAGCGTTGCAATTCTGCAGATTTTGTGATGCTGGGACTACTATTGACTTTTCTGGGACTGCTGTCGTCAGGGGCAACAGGGGCAACATCGCATTCATCTAAATACGGTATTGACGTTTACACTGCCGATGCGACCTATGGCCATGGTAGGTTGTCTAGCATAGTGCAAACGAAAAGTGGGCCCGTTCGAGGTGTTCAGAAAACAACAGTATGGCACTCGATACCGTACACGGGCTTCGTAGGGATCCCGTACGCAGAGCCACCTCTTGGATTACATAGATTCAAGGTAATACTGTCTACAGACCAACCTTGTTCGCTTGTCTCGAGAAGATTTAATTAATTTAATACTATTTATACTAACGGGGTTGAAAAACAGCTTTGAACATTTTAGTCTAGCACTACAGTAAATTCCACCTAATCGACCCTCAGCTTGAACATAAAAATGGACAATTTGGAAAGAACAGATATGATTATAGTTACTGATTGTTAACAACTACAAAAACGAGCCGCAAGACTCGAATAATCCTCTTTCCCAATTGTCCATTTTTGTTTCCAAGCTGAAAATCAATTAGGGAGAATTTACTGTACGCACTACGCACCGGTTTTGTAAAGATTATGTCAAGATTATTTTACAAAAAAAGTCAAAAGGAATCTCTTAAAATTTTCATTTAAAATTGCTTTTTGGATTTAATCACTTTTCCTGGATTAATTTTTTAACTTTTCTTAGAATAATTATGAAATTTACTTCATAAAAATAAGTATATAAGCTTTAAAATTGTTGTAATATGTTGTTCAAATCGTAGAAATATACAGGGGGGCTCAAAATTATTATTCTATATGAATACGCCTTTGTGTGTACATTCCCCCTCTTACTAGCTGCCCCACTGTCGCAACTAGTAGGAGGGGGAATGTAAGCACAGAGGTATCTTCTAATTGCGTGAGAACTGTACAATAATTTTCATTGTACATAGGTATCTTCACACTTATTGTAGGGATTATTACTTTTAGATTCTTATTTCAATAAATTCTTATTATACTTGGAAGCATTTAGAAACGAATAAATAAAATAAGTAATGAAAGATAATCGCATTGTAAACAGTTTTGTGCATTTACAGCCTCCAGTTCCAAAAAAACCATGGACAAATGTTCTTAACGCTATAAGAGTGCCCAATATGTGCCCACAAACAGATTTTTTCTTGAAAGATTACGTGGGTCACGAGGATTGTTTGTACCTTAACGTTTACACTCGTCAGGTGAATATTGTTCCTTTCTTTATTCGTGACATTTTTTCTAGTTCGGGGAGGCTACTATTCCATAAAATATAACGTAAATAATTATGTTACTTTTAATTTAACTTCGATTAATCATTGAGAAGTTCGTCTCTATTGTATAGAGTACAGAAAATCGAATAAGGGTTATCGATCTGCATTTGTCACTTTTAAAATGTGCGACCCAATATATTAGTATACTGCAATTTTTTGGACATTCCAAACGAAGAAGAAGGAATATATAAAACGTTATAACTAGACTGTCAGTTTTCGTGCTGTTGACTAAAACATGAATGCTCCATGAAAATGTGAGGTTTCATAAAAAATGTCGCTCGCAGTACTAAATTTAAATATCAAAATATCATTGATATGATAAATAAACTTTTGGCTTAACTTCAGTCTTCAGACATTGTTTCTGATTCTAACTAAACTGTTATAACTGCGCTATTGTAACTAGACTGTAGATTTCACGCATTTATGGCATAAATAGGTTGGTAAAATTTGAAATAATAATAGGGAGATTAAACAAATGTAAGATTATGTATTTTATTAATGGCTCACTAAATCAGTAAACAAATAACGTTTTTATCTTGTTCTTGTTTGTTGCAATCTATGAAGAAAATTTGTATTCTGCATAAAGATCTGCAATCTAATTGTAACTTAGAATTTTGTAAAGTTTCCTTGAGTGACCGAAAGGACGAGTAAAATCTTCGTTCCATCTATCTAATACGCAGTTTGGAAATGGAACGAAATTGAGACCAGTCATGGTGTGGATATATGGTGGAGCATTCTTCAGTGGAAACAGCAATCCATCCTTCTACGGTCCCGATTTCTTCCTCGAGGAGGACGTTGTCATGGTCAGCTTTAATTACCGTCTCGGTGCACTAGGTAGGTTGCTATGTTTTCTGGGATTTTTTTAACACTGCAAATGCAATGAAAACTCGATTAATTGTTGGCAAAGTGGTGATAAATTACGATTGTCAAAATTTCTTTCGATCCCTTTGGTAAAGATAGTGTTACATTAAGATTGTAAAAGGTATTTTTTGTCTCCTTTGGTACAGATAGCGTAACATTAGAACGTAAAAAGGTGTTTCATTACCTCATCCATAAAAAGGGCGTTAATAGCTGTCCAACATATATATCCTATATATCCAATATATGAATATTCTATAATAGATATGACAATTCTTTAGACAATTCTTTACGTTTAATAAATTAATTATAGATTCAACAAAGTCTAGTTTCAAAATCAAATTCAGCAAATTTCCTTTCGGACATCATCGAGGGAAGTTAGAGCACAAATTTCGTTAACGATTAACAAAATAAAATAGTAATGCAAGAAATAAAATATCGCCAGTGAGCTTCAACGTCAACAGACATTTTGTGATCACCGCAGTAATTATTGTAGTTATTATAAACAGCGTCACACTACGATAAATGCAAAGCGATCGATAATATTGAGAATGATTGGCACGAGACATGTAGAACGTGAAGAATATGTCAGCTTTTCTCGTGATACTTTAATTTGTAGTACAAGTGGTAGAATGTCGACGAAAATTGGCGCACTAAAGACGTCTCGCTTCCCTTGAACATCGTTTAAACTTTATTCGAACGTGCCTCAATATAATAAAAACATGTACCGTTACATTTGGGAGAGTCTCCAGAATCATTCTACAAAAGAATCATTAGTACGACTCTTACGATCGAATCCAAAAAAAAAAATTCTGAATGTTTGAACATTTCACTTCTTTTTTTAAGCTAAATTTATGAAGCTAAAAACCTGAGATATGAAACATCGATGTAGTATTACAAAGAAGATTGTATAACAGTAGCGTTTATTCTTAGGATTTTTGGCATTGAATCATCCTGAAGCTACAGGCAATGCAGCCCTGAAAGATCAGGTCCTGGCTCTGCAATGGGTGCAGGACAATATCGCTGCATTTGGCGGTAATCCTAATGAAGTAACTATCTTTGGCGAAAGCGCTGGTGCGGTTTCTACATCATACCACATGTTGTCGAAGAAATCACAAGGTTCGTTGTACTGAAATGCAGTATTCTCTTAGTAACTAAGAGTTAGTTAAGCTAAAACTTGGGGGCGCTGGAAGTTCAGAGGAGACACAATAATTTCGCCCTAATTAGCACTCAAATTGCGCACAAAGTGGACAATTTAAAAAGAGGAGATTCGAGCCTTGTGTCTCGTTTTTATAGTTGTTGACAATAGGTAACTATTATCGTATCTCCTCTTCCCAAATTGTCTATTTTTGTGCGTAATCTGAGCGCGAATTAAGGAGAAATTTCTGTATTGTATTTTTTGCAGAGGCTCGAACATAGGAAAAGATAGCGATTGAAAAGAGGTGGGACTAAATTTATTTTTTACCATTTATCGATAAAACTTTCACCATCGTGATCGTCTCGTTTTTTTTTTATTAAAATTAGACCGATCACGATATAATTTAGTTAGTTGTCCATACTAATTTGCAAGATACAGGAACTGGATACATATTGACTTCGTTTTTTGGACCCAGGATATAAATACTAAGATTTGACTAGTGTTCAAAAAGAGTACTTTAAAAAATATGTTGAACAAACAGATACATAAAATTATAAATGATCTTAACCATACTCAGTTATGTCTTTATCAAAAAAAAAAAAAAATACGCCGTTCGAAAACTAGTTAGAATAGAATAGAATATCTTACAATTCATTAAATGTTTTTTCATATTGTTTTGTATTTCATCTATTCATTTTTGTCGTAAATGCAACAGAAATCATAGTCCAGTTATTTATTTCTTATTAGGACTCTTTAAGAAAGTAATCCTGCAGAGTGGTACAGCTTTGTGTCAGTGGGGATATCACACACCTGCCAAAGCACTCAAGAATGCTCAAACTCTCGGCAAACTGCTTGGCTACAAAGGGAACTCAACAAAAGAATTACTGCACTTCCTCCGTTCTGCTCCTGCAAGACGCATGATTGAGAAAGCTAACAAAGTTGACTTAGTAATGACATTTAATTGTTTACTTGTCTAGCTATATTTCAAGATAACATTGTTGCATAATGTTCACTCTCACACATACGTGCTTCATTCATAGAACTTACACTGAGTCAATAATAGAACTTAGACCAAAAAAATTGCAAATAACAAATGGATACAAATCTTTTCTGTCGAAAAGTACAATTAATCAAATGGCTTAATTTTTCCATATAGAGGCTATAAAGGAGAGAAAGAAACTAGAAAGAAAAACAGAATTTATGGAGATAAAGAATGACAGAATAGATAGGAGGTTCCTAACATTTAATACTAAAACTATTAAACCCCAAAAGTGAATAAGCTTGAATAAGCTTCTGACAGCCTAGGTCAAAGTAGGCCCGATAGTTATTTTTAACACTAAACCTACCAAATCAACAACTGACTAACGTACAGGGTGTCCCAATAATGTCTCGCAATCCGGAAATGGGGCTACCCTGAGGTCATTTGAAGCAACTTTTTCCTTAGCGAAAAAACTTTTTCCTTAGTGTTAAGAATAACGATCGGGTCCACTTTAATTTCTAGAGAAGATACCTCTGTGTTTACATTTCCCTCTGCTGCAGCTATCAGTCGCTAGCGACCGTCGTTGATCTTCATCATCGTTTTCAGCCAATAGCGACCGATAGTCTCGGCGGTGGAGCAACTAATAAGAGACGGGAGCCTTCATACAAAGGTACCTTCTCGTCGCGTGAATACTATATGTTGCTTCATAAGAATGACAACGTTGTATTTGTTTAAACTTTTTCTCATTTTTATTGTGATATTTGCAATAATTATGAACATTGCAATTATTTCATATAGAAGTATTTTTGTAGTCTCAACAATATCTAAATGAAAAATATGAAACCAATAATTTTGACCAGCATGGTGGGTTTAGTGTTAAAAATTGAATACAAAATATGAAAAATTATGGAAAGTGAAAGTACGGTACGATTTAATTTTTGAAGGATGCATTGCCGTTCAGACCAACGATAGAAAACGTCAAAATCACCAAGGGGGGCGCATTTTTGACGGAATGCCCTATAGAGATTTACGAATCTGGAAAGTTCACTGCGGTTCCTACATTATTGGGTTATAACCACGACGAGTTTCTATTTTTCTTAGACTGTAAGTACGAAATGCAGCGACTCTCAATTAACTATCACAGAATTCAGTGACCAGAATATTTTATCAAATATTTTTGATACTGTTATTACTAGACTGTGGATTTTATGCGCTTACAAGGAAAATGAGTACGTGAAATAAAATATAGCGATAACTTCAGAAGAATATAAGAATATAGCCACGTTATATCTTAATAATGAAAATTATTGAAAGTAAAATGAATACTTCGATAGAAAACTGTTCTTTTTAATTAACTGTTCTTTAAAATTTTTATTTTACATGAAAATCTTTGCCTATCTCTTTCGCAATAATGCGTGTGATGACAATTGTTATAAGATGCAAAATGAATTTCGGAGATTTGTTTCTTTCCCATTTCTCCACAAAATAATAATTAAATAGGTAATTGTACTGAAGAAAGGGACTCTTCACTTATTTGAACACAGTGTTTTTCTATTGTTTTCTATAAAAGAAGTTTATCTAAACATCTTTTATAGACAATTTATCGCAACATGTATAGGGAACAGTTGCGAGGATGATAATTTTGATAACATAATTCAAGGACATAAAAATCAGTAAAAAGTTTCTTTCTTAAGTGAGTACTATTAACAGAACTGTGAAACATAAATGACATGAAATAATATAAATCTCAATTAGAAATTAAACTATATTTCCATTAAATATTTCTTAAGTGTATGATCATGCAATTTTATCGTTTTACAGATTTTGTCGGAAACCCGAGCTACACACAAGTACTGAAGCGTATGTTCGAACTGGTAACCCAGTTTAGTGGAAACGTCGACCAGATTCTTGGAACTGCAGGAGGATTGTTGTTCAATTTCTTGCCCAACTTCCTACTTGGAGATGTTGTAGATCTTGTAACTAACGCGCTATTTATTGCGCCAATCGATCTAACCCAAAGGTTCATAACGAAATCGAATGATGAACATCCTGTCTATTTTTATCGGCTCTCGTACCAATCGAAATACAGTGTGCATTCGTTGGTCGGCTCAACAATAAATGGTACGAAAAGAACTCCTCTTTTTCTTCATTTGCACAAGTCATTCGACGCCTGTAATGCTCCATCAATTTATCTAGCTCGAAAAGAACAGTAGAGATACAGTTCTTAATTTAATAATTTCGTTTGATTCAATTATTATAACGTACAGGGTAAACAAAATAACTTGATCGCTTCGAATATTTTACTCGTTGTTGACAATGTGAGAAATGTCAAGGTAAATCATTTTCTTATTTGAAGGGACAAACGTTACGATAAACAGAAAAATTCGTTTAAAATTAAGACGTGGTTTTCATCGTATTTTTACTCGCCGTTTAGTAGTCTTTCGAACAACAAGGTCAAACATCATGACACAAAAATCTCGTCACATTTTATGCTACTCGTGATACCAAACAACTTCCACTGAAATTGTCTCGGTACAACGATCAGATTACTAATAAAAGGTGACACAGTTAAATGTCCCATCCCGTATAAAGATAATAGGAGTGAATCAAATTAATTCACGAATAAATTTTCTCCGAAATTGGGAATGCTTTGAGTGACCTTACTAATTACAGGAACTTCCCATTTGGACGATATTGGTTATATATTCAACGTACAAGCACTGAACGCTTCGACGAACCCGCAGGATCCTTTCAACGTGTTCCGAAAGAAGATGGTCAACGCTTGGGCGAATTTCGCTAAATACGAGTAAGACAAAACGATACGATTAACACCTAGAGCGTTCGATTACTTATTTAATTATTTTAACTATTTTCTTGAAATATATTTTGTTTTTGAACAATATTAGAACTACTGAACCAGTCAAAATGACTTCTCCATTGCGGTTTTAACAGTACTTGATATTGCGAAAATGTTTCTGTCAGAAATTTTTAGATAAACTTCTTCATTTCATCATATATTATAAAAGAAATCGTACAAAGCTTGAATAAATCCAATCTTACCATTGTTATAGAATAATATACGTCGGACGAGTTAGGGGCTCGGTTAGGAGTTATAATGTTAAATAAGTCAAGATTTGAGATGACCGCAACGTGAAAACAATTGTTGCAACAACCACCTAGCATTTCCTTTATTTTTAGTATAATTCTTTATGAGTGAAAAGAACGCGTCTAATTGAACTTGGAAATTTTGATATCGAAGATAATTTGTTCAATAAGGAGGTTAGAATAAAACTATCCATGAATGAAGAACGATTGGAAAATTATACCGCAGTTGAAGCAGAAACCAATAAACATGAAATTAATTCTTGTTTTCCTTCCCACAGCAACCCAACAATAAAGAACGCTTCACATGCTGGTCCAGTATTCGAAGCGACTTGGTTAGACAGCAGCAAGACAGGTGTACAATTGGATATTAACGAAGTAACTATTCTGAAAGGTCGTTTGATTAATCCAGTGACTGTCCGTTTCCATCAAGGATACAGAGAAAGGCTTCCGCAAAATTCTGATTGCGGTCATTCGTTCTTTTCAGAACACCAATAGTATACCTATATAAATTTATATTCAGTTGTTATTATATACAATTAAGTATATAATATTTAATTTGTAATACATATGATACAATAAGTATGTATATTTAATGCAATAAATATCCTTGTGAAGTATACTTGTGTGTGTGTGTTTCTGGGTTATTAGATAAGAGATAACTTTTTCATAAAATCATTGCTTTAGAAATATGGATTTCAATGAACTCTAGTAGGACCTCATTACTGAAAGGATAGTGTTGTTGAAGAGGTTGGCACCTTGCCAAATGTTATTCGAGAGCTCTGCTTTAAATTTCGACTACAGGACAATCGAAGCAAATGTGCGTCATTTGATAGGTGATGACGATGACAATGATGTCGCAATAGATATACCCGTGACTTGGAAAACCGTTACCAGTAAAATTAATATATAGCAATAGTAAAATTAATTAATTAATTAAATTTTTTAATAGAAGAAATAGTCCATTGATACGTATGCGCAGGAAAACATAATAATACGGTGAATCAATATGTTTCGATATGCTCGATAATGTATTTTTTTGAAGCCTAAATGACTTACATCATTTTCATAATCAGTACTATATTCTAGTTAATGAATTACAACATCAAAACATAATAAATTTTATTACGGAAATGTTTTCATTTATGTTACAAATTAGTCAAATACAGAACTTTTAGCCCTAGGATCCATGGATGCTAAAACATTCTACACACACATGTAACCATTGTTTTAGTAATATAAAACGCTCTTTTTATCGTAGTCGTCACAAAATTTTTCCAGGTTGTCTACAAAACGAAGGAAAATCGTTGTGTACATAGTACGCAGTGGTACCATGTTTATCAAGTAGTAAACAGTTATTTAGTCTATTTAATCTATGCATATTCGGTAATGCGTACACAAATTTGTGAAGATTAATATAGTCTTAAATGTTCTCAAATTTAAAGCTTTCAAATTTTGTCTTAAATTATTGCATTCTGATTGACCAGCTCTTTTTCGTTAGCAAATGCTTTCGTATCGTTTCCTAACGATACATTTCTCTAACAATTTGCAATAATATGAAATGATAACAGCAATAAAACGGACATTCCTTCTTCGTATTAATTTCACGGCACAAAGAAGAATATATATAATTTTCTGCAAGGAGATTAATTGCATTTTCGGTCGAGTCATTTAAATTGGACGCGCGATGGACAACGATGACATAATAATTTAGACCATAATTTATTTCGGGGAGACCGAAATAAAATTTATTCATGAAAAATAAATCGTGTATATTATTTATATTTAATACACAAGTATACATACAGACATATATCCAGAACTGTACTTGCACTGTAGCAGACTATGCACATTAACTATGTACACATTGTAAAACTCGCCCAAACCTACCTTAACAAAGAAAATTGTCTGTTTTATTACAGTCTGCAAACTCGAGCGCTTTACGAACATAGTAATAATGTTGAGGAAAGAAAAAAAATTGTTGCAACCGAATGCTATAATTTAAGCCAAAAACAAATTTTAAAGAAGTACGCAGTCATTAGAAAATCAAATAACAGAAACGCTAGAAATTAAAAAGTAAAAAATTTAAAAAGCCGTAAAATTAATTAATACGCTGATAAAGAGCATTTTACGTCATATAATGTTATGGGATCATATTTAAATTTGCTCCAATGTCATGTCGAAATATCTCGTTGACCTTCAACATGTCTACCTTTCAAAATCTTACTTATTATTTGTATTGTTTTAAAGTTTAGATTTCGCTTCAATGCAACTTTAACTATTACGTTTAATTTCTACACCACGGGATATATTTTTTAAATAATCTACAATTACAGAAACTAAATCAATGAATGAAAGATAATCTTACCAGTTCTAATTTTTTCACACTTTCGGTAATAGTTGCAAATGACTTCAAATAAATGTTAAATTTCTCCCTTTGTAAGAGTATAATTATCTTTAACGGTTGCACAATCCAATTCATTATCAATATACGTCTGCTATTTTTTTATTTAAGCATCATCAATTTTTGACAATAGGATAAAGTATTTATTGCAACGTACCTTCAGAAATACTGAAATAATAAATCGAAAACCCAACTGGCAGTTTTAACGTGACGAATCACTGATTTCACAAACATATTTAAGAATCATTGAGCTCCGTAGAAAATTATTCACTAACCTGCTAGATTAGTTATACTTTCCATGTTCAACTGTAGAACCGTCACGCTTCGTACATTAAAGGAGTCATTTGCACACACACATTATCAGCAGCAATCATTCAAGTGAGTAGCTATACATATTATGCATATACAGGGTACAAGTAAAAATAAGACAAAAATGTTACGTAACAAAAAGTTCATAAATGCTTTGTTAAGAATCTATGACAAAAATACAATTGTCCAGGTCTAAATTACATTGTAACCTCTTCCTTTTTTTTCTCCGTATTACCGGCCGTTTATTGTGCAACGTACCACGTGTTGACGATGACAACCTAATAAAAAATATTAATGTTCGTTCTGCAAACAACATCGATCAATTTCCCGGCGAAATGATAATGTCTTAAACAGCTGTTTCGAACAATACGACAAGGTTCCCAACAATGTTGGAGCTATATAAACCAGATGTCCCAGATCGTGGCCTCATTAGGACCGCGGGTAAATTACTATGATTCGCGTAGCAGGGATTACGTTCCTTGCTTTGTGGTTGCTGCCACAGTGCTTGAGCGAAGAGTACACTCGAACAGATGTGGTCCAGACTACCAGCGGACCCGTCAGAGGTATCGTAAAAGAGACAGTATGGCACTCCATCAAATACAACGCTTTCTTGGGCATCCCTTATGCAGAACCACCGATTGGTAACCTGAGGTTCAAGGTAGAAATGATATATGAAACATTCTTTGCTGTCAATCTACTTTACAACTTTAATTCGATTCTGTTCACCCAGTTGCTACATTTTTATTGATTCTGTTATCATATACGTAGAGATTCGTTAGAAACATTTAACGCAAAATCGACCTTGAGTATGATTTTCAATGTTAAATGTTTCTCCATTTGTCAAATGTATTTTTCCAATAAAAAAACAGGACTTCTACGAGCATAGAATTTCAATGTTACTAGAAAAATTTGAAGAAGTACTTTTTCTTACCATAAACATTAAAAAATCGTCTTTCATTTTTTCGGACAAGAACGAAACAACTTTCCGAACGATCCAATATGTATTAAGGATTATGAATGAACTGTGAATATTTATGAAACATTTATACGTCGAAATATGCAAAATGTATGCAAGATCAATGCAAAATGTATTCAGGACTATGTAATATACAGGGTAATTCACTAAAGCTGTTACAAAGCAATTTCTCCGTTATCGTTAACGATACTAAAAACTGCTAGAGGAACAGATTGTATAGCTCGAAGAATCACACGTTGCAGTGGAAATAATTTCTTTTCAAAGGACATATTTCTCGGCATTTCAAGGTCATCGATGTTTTTTTCGAACGACATTACATATTTCTATTATTATGATCAAGACGAATCCAATGACCTATAGTAACATGACCTTTACGTGGCCTTAAGCAGATCGAGCATCGACAGGTCCCATAAATTCACCACTTTCACGTAAACGTATACATTTGCATAAACATCCGCAATCTAATTATAAGGAGCAGAAAAATTGTTGAGCGTATTTCTTATAAGAGATAGACATGTTTAAGGCATCATAAAGAAGAAAAATGTGATTAATTATTTTTCCAGCTAAATGGAAATTTCGAAAATATGAACTTTAGTCAACTAACTATAGAAATATTCATTAGAATACACTATTTTTCTTGTAGTGGAATCTCTTTCTTCATTACAACATGTATGGATTTCAAAAATATATCCAATTCGAACAATTTTCTAATCAGCGAAAGAATTCTTTTCCTGTAGTGTTTGCGAAATAACAAATAAGAGTAAGTACTTACATTTCTTGAATTTAAAATATACTTAACTTAAAAAAAGACTTAAGAAATGGTAACACAGAAATGAATCAAGAATAGAAGAAGTGTTAGATGAATAAAGAATGTTTTTTTTCCGTGAATGTTCAGCCCCCTGTTCCAAAGAAACCATGGACAAACGTTTACGATGCCGTAGAGGAGGGAGGTACCTGTCCTCAACTTGATTTCTTTAACGAGGGATACATAGGTGTCGAAGACTGCTTGTACTTGAACGTGTTAACGCCACAGGTAAGAATCGGGTGTCCCAATACAGGGTTGTCCCAAAATTATAGTACTTCCGAGAAATAAAAGGTTCATTAGGTCAGTTGTAATAACTTTTTCCTTAGCGCAAATACAATATACCGTTTTGTTTACGAATTATTGTCGATAAACAGTAACCAATAAAAAGCGAGATCAGCTGGCGCGAGGCGGCCGAACCAATGAGTGGAACTAAGCTTCGACTGTTGGCCCGGCCGCCTCGCGTCAGCCGAACTCTCTTCTCATTGGTCACTGTTTTTCGTTAATAACTCGTAAACAAAGCTGCGGATTGCATTTTCACTAAGGAAAAAGTTGCTTCAAATAATCTCAAGAGCCTCTCGTTTTTCGAGAGTACCATAATTTTAGGACGTCCTGTATATTAACATTTAGTTCATGACATTCTTCGAAACAATAATTTCCTTCAGAAAATTCTACATATTAATCTGTTCGTGCGCCGTCAAAAGAAATCAAATGTTAGAAAATGCATTGAGCTGACTTTTTAGTATTGTTTCATTTTTTTAATTACCTTTTTTATAAACAATATAGTCACAGAACTAAAAAAAGAGGTCGCATTAACTCTGAAACTAATATTTCATAAAATGTGAATTACATCATCTTTTGGTTAGCCTTTATACTTCCTAATATTTTAACTCGATGCAAATTCGACATCATTTATTTCGCAAAAGTCACCATAATTATCGTAGAACTTTTGCTAGCAGAAACGTAACACGGCTAGCTTAACGTAAGCAAAGTCTTTAAATATATTCACAAGAATCATCGTAATAGTTTTTTTCAACTTTTGCAAGCAGATACGTGATATAGAGGTAACATAACTTAAACAAAATCCTTAATTCAGTAAATTCTTCCTAATTGACGCTCAGATTGTATACAAAAATGGACAATTTTGAAAGTGGAGGAAGAGATTTGTATATTTGTCGGCTTGTTTTTATAGTTACCAATTGTCAACAATTATAATATCTATATAGACATATCCGCAAGTCTCAAATAATAATATCTCCTCTTCTTAAATTGTGCATAATCTGAGCGTCAATTAGGGAGAATTTACAGTAGTATGAAGCGCTATGTTGCGTAACAAGAGACGTTGTTAGTTATACTTAAATGACAAGAAGTTATTCTTAAATTACGTGAAGTTATCATTGAAATTATATCATTCGAAGTTGGTTAATGGAAGCAACCCGAAACCAGTCATGTTCTGGATTTATGGCGGAGCATTTTTCTCGGGATACAGCAACATATCTTTCTACGGACCTGACTTCATGCTCGAACAGGACGTTGTCTTCGTCAGCATGAATTATCGTGTCGGTGCGCTAGGTATGTCAGTTCACTTTGGAAATTTATTTAGAAATGAAATCGTAATAATGGTAGCAGTCCTTGCGTCTTTAATTTTCGATATAAATAGAAAAATGATGAAGAAAGTTGGTGCCTTAAAGCCGTCTCTTTGAACATTGTTTAAATATTGTTTACACATGTGTGAATATTACAAAACCAAATACCGTCGTGTTTAGGAGAATCTACGGAATCATGCTACGTAAAAATAATTCGTACAACTCTTAACAGTCGAATTCGAAACAATTCTTAAAGTTGAAAATTTCACTTTTTTTTAAACTTTGCAAAGCTAAAATTCTGTGATAGAAAACTTTGACCTGGCTGACAGTTTTAGTGTTACAAAGAAGATTGTGTGACAATAGCGTTTATTCTTAGGATTTTTGGCAATGCGTCACCCCGATGCTCAAGGTAACGCCGGCATGAAGGATCAGCTCTTGGTTTTGAAATGGGTGCGGGACAATATCGCTGCGTTTGGCGGTGATCCTAATGAAGTGACTATGTTCGGTGAAAGTGCCGGCGGTGGTTCTGTAGGATTACACGTGTTGTCGGAAAAATCTAAGGGTACGTAGCGAAATTATCAATAGACTGCGGATCTTTATGCAAGATAAAAATTGGTTATCTCCATTGCTCGATGCAGTAATTCATTTCTTCTTTCCGTAATTTTAATAGATTGTAAATATCGCATCTCTAATCTTGAATTTTTCTCATGTCTCTTCTGTTCTATGTTTCATCTGTTCATTTTTCTCATAAGTACATAAAATCCGCATTTCACTTATCGATTTCTTATGTTGACGCATTTCTTATGTTGCATGCCACGTCTATAAAACATTGTGCAAAACCATATACAGTGGCCCGCAAAAGTACACTTTTTAAAACGCAATAACTTTTTCAAAACTGAACTAAATGACTTGAATTTTTGTTAAATGATAGGGAGACTAATCTACTAGACGATGTCTAAAATGCTTTTTTTTAAATTTAAATTTTTTTTAAATTAGCTATTACTTGGAATGAAAAGAAAAAATTAAAAACCCTCGTTTCTTAACTTTTTTATCTGGGCCTATAACGAAAATTTAAAAAATGCCTTTTGTAGATCTCGGTAACTTATATGCATGCTAAAAATTTGATCGAAATCGGTTAACCCAGAGACGAGCTACAGGCGTTGAAGGATTTTAAAAACTGCAGATTTCTTACAGTTTTTCTTACAGGTCAAAATCGTGATAAAACTGCGATTTTTGCGATCTTTAATTTGTTGTAACTCATAACAACGTAAACATAAGTTACCGAGATTAGATAAAAACATTTTTTAAATTTTCGTTATGAGGTCAGATAAAAAAGTTAAAAATTGTGGGTTCTTAATTTTTTATTTCATTCCAAGTATTAGCAAAATTAAAAAAAAAGCATTTCAGTCATCGTCTAGTAGACTAGTCCCTCTATCATCTAAAAAATATTCAAGTCATTCAGTTCAATTTTAAAATAGTTATCGCATTTGAAAAGGTGTACGAACACTTTCGTGGAACACTATAAATCTACGTTATATTAGAGAATTTCTTCCTTTTGTACGTAGACTGTGTATCATAGTTTGCTATGGCATTCACTTACGGCATCATCAAAGCTAAATAAAATTTGTCGACAAGTATTCCTAGTTTCTATTGGTCACAACAAAACTATAATTCTATAAAACAATCTTTATGAAATAGGTGAACTGAGAACAGTATGGGAAGAGAATTATGAACGAAATAATTAAAGTTGAACTTGCAATATTAATAATAATGGTTG